CCCAACCCAATTGACCGCAGCAGCTGATGAGAAGGTGTGGAGCAGATTTGCGTCCTTCCCCTGACAGATCTGGGAGAAGTTGCACCCATTGGATGAGAAATGAGGCCAGTGCTTCAGAGAGCAGGAAATGGTGCAGGGATCTTACAAACATTGAGATTCTCCATCAACCCCGTTCACCCACCCCCCCTCCTGACCATGACATCATCCCTTCCCCCTCGTCCTAGGAGACCAGAGGGAGATGGGAAGAGCACGGAGAACATGGGAAACTCTTACATGACAGTAAGTCCGAGGGGAAAAAAGTATTTGTCCTGCACAACCTCTAGGTCAGAAAATCACTGACCTCTGAACAGCGATTGTGAGTTTGGAAAGTACCGAACAACAGTTCATAAGAGAGTCATGTGCTGAGCAATAAAAAGTCAAAATACCACACAAATCAAGGGTTTTACTTACCATACAGCACATGATTACATAGCTCTGAAATTATTTGTATTCATTTAATTTTGAATGGCTGTTGCCTTCATCCTCCAGAGATTTTATTAAAATCCAATATCCAGTATTAACACTATTTTTTATTTCAGTTAACCTTTATTTATATAGTGCTTTTACAAAGTAGATTGTGTCAAAGCAGCTCAACATAAAAGTTCTAGTAAATTGAAACTGTGTCAGTCCAGTTTTCTGAGTTTAAATTAAGTTTCACAGCTGATTATCCAAACACTGAAGAACAAGGTAGTCTTTTTTATTATTATTAAATTACTTGTCAGACAAAAGAAATCCTTCAGGCTGATCTGCTCTACATTATGGTCTCCAACTCTTTTGGGCATCAAAAAAAAAAAAGAAAAACAACTGTGTTCACCAATGTTTTCTCATTCATAACATTATGGAGCATTTACAGGCAATATGGCGATCAAAGTCCTTTTAACAATTTTCACATGGACTGTTTTGACAATGTTTTGACAATTTTCCTTTTCTGGACTTTAAATGTCTCAGGGCCATCTATATATCTATAGCAGTGGTCTTCAACCACCAGGCAGCCTGGAACTAGTCCCTGGGTCAATTGGTACAGGGCCGAGACACAAGAAATCATGCAAGAAATCGCACTAGAAATCATTAATTATTTCTGTTTTACTTATTATCGGAGTCTGAACGTTCTTTTATTTTGAATAATCTTTTATTTTCAAAAATGACCATTTTTTTTTGCTTACATCTCGGTCACTTGAGCCCCCAAATTTAACCCACAAGCAGCAAAATGACTAAGCAACCGACATCTTCGGAAATTTTCATTGCTAAAAGGAAAAGAACCATTCAAGGACCCGCGAAGGACCTGCCAAGGAATTGACCCTTTGCTAAGCCACACCCTAAAACCACCACCCACCAATTGTGGCTTGGCAACCCTTTAAGCTACAAACGTCATGCGTTCATACAATGAAATGAACTAACCCGGTAACACTTTACAATAGGGTCATTAGTTAATGCATTTTCTAACATGAACTAATCATGAACAACACTTGTACAGCATTTATTAATTATAATTGAACATTTACTAATGCATTATTAACATCCAAGTCCATGCTTGTTAACATTAGTTAAAGCACCATAAGTTAACATGAACTAACAATGAACTACTGTATTTTCATTAACTAACAATAACTAACATGAACAAATACAGTGGTAAATGTATTGTTCATTGTTTGTTCATGTTAGTAAATGCATTAATTAATATTAACTAAAGAACCTTATTGTAAAGTGTTACCAATAACCCTTTAAGCTACAAACGTCATCGCGAGTCTGACTGCTTTAAACTCTCTCAAAAAAAGCTTACACAATCACATCTTCTAAAAAGACATGCAAATGATAAATTACACTATTGAGGTCCTATTTGTACAAATCCCATGAGTTCTGATCTGTGGCTTGAACATATTCAAAATGCTTTGTTGTCATGCTAAGCTTAAACTTAAATAAATAATACTCTTTCTCCTTAAAAGGATATCTCACCAAAAAATGACGATTCTGTCATCATTTACTCACACCTCACACTTACGTTTTTATGATATTTTGAACACAAATGAAGAAAACTGAAAACCTGTTACCAACGTATTTGTCTATAAAAGTCAATGATTGCAGTTTTCCAGCTTTCTTCCAAATATCTTCTTTTGTGTTCAACAGAAGAAAACAAACCCATAAAGCTTTGGCACCACTTGAGGGGGTATACAGTGAGTAAATTTTCTTTTTTGGGCGAATTTTAAAGCACAGTATGTCCGTCTCAGCGGTGGCATTGGAGTACTTCAACCAGCTGAATGCACAAGCGCTTGGAAGATCTGTGTAATTTGACCTGGTTGTACTGGTAGCATAGGGAGACAATCGACCCTGTGTTTGGAGACTCCTGTCAGCAGTTAAAGAATTCAGCAGAGGCCGAGATGTTTTTCGCAGGACCCCCTCCCCCTCCAGTGCTTCTCGTCTCATCGATTGTGTGCTACTGCCTCTGATCCTTACCAGCTGTGTTGAGTGGTAAAACTTTAGCATGTCACCGTGTTACTTGTTAAAACGCCGGAATAGTCAGTCTCGGTAGCACAAAGAGCCACAGCATTTGCTTGGCAAGGGAAACCACACTCCCTTCTTTTCCTCCCTCTGTTACAGTACACAAATCAGCCATGTAAAAGAGGAATACAGACAGCGAGGCAATGACATCATGGCTCTTTCTCTTCTCACTGACAGGCCACAGAAAGGAAGTATTGTGTCCTTGGCCATGTGTTGTGCATGACATGCAGGCTAAAGTATGATCTTGCAGGCGACCGCAGACATCATGGGATGTTTTATGAAATTCGCTTGCTGAATTCAGACAGCGCCTCTCGAAAAAGAAGCACACTTCAACGTTGAGTTCTAATAACTGCATTTTAAAGGTGTTATTTGTAAATGTTTAGTACACCGTTATATGCAATTCCATATACTGTAAAATGGGTTCCACACATATCACTCCTGTTGTCCCAATACAAATCAATTATGTTAATGTAACAAATTTAAGTGGATTGAACACATACCTGCTAGCACCCCTATTTTTCCCAGGAGTTTCCTGGTGTTTCAGACCTATCTACCGCCACCTTTTTTGTTTTGTTTCTTCTCTCGGAAAACTCCCGTAATTGCAACCCCCACCGCCATTTACATCTTTTTTGTACAGTATGTAAAACCCCTGGGTCACCAACTTTGGTATAGTATAGTTCCATGGTACAGTTACTAACACCACAGTACAATTACTAACCTGGTTCACAACAGTGTTATTCCAACACCTACCCCAGTCTCCTAGATTTTCAAGGACAAATGTTTGCAGCCCTGCTGAAAAATCCAGCTTAAACCAGCCTAGGCTGGTTGGCTGGTTTTAGCTGGTTGACCAGCCTTGTTTTAGAGGGGTTTTGGCCATTTCCAGGCTGGTCTTAGCTGGTCTGGCTGGAAAATGACCAGCCAAGACCAGCTAAAACCAGCTTGACCAGCCTGGTTTAAGCTGGATATAGCTGATTTTGGCTGGACTCCCAGCTTGGCTAGGCTGGTCAAGCTGGTTTTAGCTGGTCATCTCCCAGCCTGACCAGCTAAGACCAGGCTGGAAATGGCTGGAAACCAGCCTGGAAATGGCCAAAACCCATCTAAAACAGCCTGGTCGACCAGCTAAAACCAGCCAACCAGCCTAGGCTGTTTTAAGCTGGATTTTTCAGCAGGGCTATGATTGAACATAAAAAATTAGGTCTCCTCCAAAAAAATCTCCAGAATTGTGTTGTTTAAACTCATTTAAAATAAGTAGCTTGAACAAGCAGCTAAGATACAACTTTTGTAGTGAATTTACTCATTTTGTCTTTTAGTTATGGGTTTATATAGATATCTGTTGACATTTTTGCTATTTCTGCACAGAATTTTGAAAAAAAAAATTATAAAAAAATGTAAATAAATAAATAAATAAATAATATCTGTGGATTGATGCAGAATGATGTTGAGTATATTAACTGAAAATGCATGATGCTAAATACTAAGTTTTTAGTTTTTATATAAGGTTTACAATGCATATCTAATTAGAACAACTTGTTTTAAAAAATATTGCACATTATTATATAATAATATTGCATATTATTCAGTTATATGAACTGGGAAGTGTTTATAATAAACTAAAATATGTTTCATTTGCATTTTTTCAAAACTATATATATATATATATATATATATATATATATATATATATATATATATATATATATATATATATATATATATATATATATATATTGATTTTAAATTTACTGGTTGTCAACACACCAAAGAGCTTCTTTAAAGTAAGAGTCTACACTACCTGACAAAACAGTCGTTCTCTTGGATCGTTCTCTAAGATTCTCTTGGAAATTTGAGCTGCCCGTTACATTACAAACCACAGGAGAGGGCAGATTCTTCAGCAGGATAGAGCTCCTTCTCATACTTCTCATAAGTGACAAGACCTAAGTCCTTACTGTCCTAATAGTTAAAAATCAAGGCATGATCTTTTATTTAGGTAAAATGAGCGTAATCTAGAGCACTTTGCCTTTCATATTAGCCACTTCTGATACCAAATGATCAACTGGGAGTCAAGTTATTTTGCTGTTCCTAAAACTTTTGTCAGGTAGTGTATTAAAACAAAAATATAAGAACTAATAAGACCTACAATTGACTACTTTTTTACAAGTTTACTTAAGAAAGAGTCATGAATGTGAACTCGTCAAGTGCCATTAAGCTGCATTGCGTTTTATCTCATAAATACTGTATTATGTTTAAGTACAGTTTTATAATATACTTTAAAGATCTGAAATGCACTGCAAGTACACATTCAGCGCATTTCTTTTTCACAAGGGGTCGTTTCAGTTTAAAGTCTGAGGCAAGCTCTTGCTATCAATTATCTAGAAGAATATGTGGGGTGGGTTTTATCTGTTATAAATAATGCAAGTGTGTCTTCGCCTCAGCTGAAGTGCTCAGTTACACAGTATGGCTCTAACCTTGACGTCTTGCTCCAGTGTGCGGATGAGCTCTCCATCCACCTGTCCCGTCTGGGCCACGCGGATGCTGCGTCTCTCTGCTTTCTTGAGGCGATACTGCAGGATGCGGCATGTCTTGTTGGCCTGATCCAGCTGTTGTCTGAGCTCCTGAAGCTGATAAACATCCTCCTCCAAGTACATGTCCCTCATCTCCAGCATCTCCGAGCGAAGTTCCTCCATTTCGTCCTGATACACACACAAGTAGTGCATTGTGAGTTAAATATTGTGATGTAAATATGGGTTCACACTGGAGTCTCTTCAGGAGTGCTTAAGATGCTACTGATCAAGGGTAGTGTGAAAACACATTTTAAGGAATATTTCACACAAAAAACTAAATGTTCTGACTATTTTCACCCAGGCTAACCAAGATATTTAGGCTAAGGCTTTCTTTCTTCAGCCAAATAGAAGAACATTTCAGGACTTTTCTTCAATGTAGGAACAATGTAAGTCATTTCTGATGGCCCCAAAACACATTTTTCATATGCAGATGACACAGTAGTATGTACTCACACAAAAACCAAAGAACAAGCTGCTAACAAACTTACTGCTGCACTCAAGAAAGTTTCAGACTAGTTATATTGTTCATGTCTTACCCTCAACGTAAGTAAAACTGTGGCAATGTTTTTTCAATTAAGAAAAAGGAGGAGCGTTGCTCAGATATCTTAGTTAATGGAGAAGTTCTAAATATAGTTGATCATGTTAAATGTTTAGGTAAAACTTTTGACTCTAATTTAAATTTAAAAAAAACAGATTAAAAAGGATTCTGCCCGGGGCCAGTGTGAGAGATGCTCGGGACAGTAGACAGAATCGTTACTGGCCCAATCGGGTCACTAAATTTCAATTTGCCTGCTACTATTTATCGATTGCGTCTTAGAATCGAGAAACAATTTGTGCTTTTAAGTCTTTGAATGCTACCTTTTCTGTGAAGTCTTAAACACCATATTCATTCATTTTCTTGTCGGCTTAGTCCCTTTATTAGTCCGGGGTCGCCACAGCGGAATGAACCGTCAACTTATCCAGCAAGTTTTTACGCAGCGGATGCCCTTCCAGCTGCAATCCATCTCTGGGAAACATCCACACACACATTCATACACATACTCATACACTACGGATAATTTAGGCTACCCAATTCACCAGTACCGCATGTCTTTTAACTGTGGGGGAAACCGGAGCACCCGGAGGAAACCCACGCGAAGGCAGGGAGAACATGTAAACTCCACCACATCAAATTATGAAGCTAAAGAAAACATCTGTTTACATGGGTACAACACGACGAAAAAAATGAAGTGATGTTTTGCATAGTTTGCCTTCACTTTTAAGTCAGTAACCGTTTGCAATAAAATGCCTGCACATTTTCCATACTGCCATATTTTACTGCTAAATATTTTAATATTTCTAAAAATTTTAAATTCAAGATTCACAGACTTTATTTTTGACACATTATTTAAAATATGTGACTAAGAAATAGCAATTTACTTTTTTTTGGTGGGGCCAGTGAAAACTTTGGCGGGGCAAGTGAAAATCTGAACCACTGGTCCATTCGGGCCAGTAGAAATAATACTTAACGTTGAACCCTGACTTGTACTCAAGGCCTGTCTGTAGTCAGCCTGTTGACAGGGGTGGTTCTTTTTTCTCAAAATGTGGACCTTTTTGCAGTTCATTTTCTATTTACTTGTCAGGTTTAAATACTGCATTTTAATGACATTTTAAGCACTATTTTTGCTGGATTAGTTTGTCAGATGGTCATTATAACCACATGTTTTGGTGTACCAAAAAATCCTAAAGATTTAGAATAAATGAACATAAAAAAAAAACATATTAGATCATATATCATTAGAATCTGTTAAAGTTTTAAATTAAAAACTAGCCTATTACAATTTATTAGGCAGATAAAAAACTGGCCATCAAAATAGGATAAATGAGCTCATGTATGGGACAAATTCTGGACCTTTGTCATTGAGAGGTGGGTCTTTTTAACCAACCGATTAAAAAAATGTGACCTTGGACAAAAATCATAAGAATAGGTCCCACTTTATATTAAGTGTCCTTAACTACTGTGTACTTACATAAAAAAAAATAAATACAATGTACTTACTGTGATTATAATGTATTTGAGAACACTTGTGGTGCTTTTGAGTTGGGATAGAGGTTGGGTTATGAACAGGTTTGGTGGCATGGGTAGGTTTAAGGGAGGGTTAAGGTGTAAGGGATGGTCAACAGTGTATTTACAAATGTAATTACAAAAGTTAACTACAGATGTAATTACATGCATGTATTTAATCAAGCATAAGTACACAGTAAATACATGTATTTACATAATATGTACATTGTAACAAACTATTACTTCCTGTGTAAGTACATATTAGTTAAGGCCACTTAATATAAAGTGGGACCGAATATTTAGTGAATATCATGGTCCATGAAGATATTTTGGAAATGTCCAACTGTAAATATATCAAAAGCTCATTTTGATAAATCATGTGCATTGCCAAGAGCTTAAATTGAAAACTTTAAAGGTGATTTTATCAGTATTTATACTTTTTTGAAGATTCTAGATATTCAAATAGGTGTTATTCATTCATTTTCCTTTGGTTTAGCCCCTTTATTCATCAGGGGTCACCACAGCGGAATGAACCGCCAACTTATCCAGCATTTGTTTTCCACAGCAGATGCCCTTCCAGCTGCAGTATGGGAAAACATTCAGTTTATCTATGTCTGATGTCTATGTACCGTGGGGAAAACCGGAGCACCCGGAGGAAGCCCACACAACGCCAAGAACATGCTAAGTCCACACAGAAATGCAAACTGACCCAGCCAGGACTCAAACCAGCGACCTTCTTGCTGTGAGGTGACAGCACAAACCACTGAGCCACTGTGTTGCCCCTTCAAATAGGTGGATCTCTGCTAAATATTGTCCTGTTCTAACAAACCAAACATCAATAGAAAGCTTATTTATTCAGCTTTCTGGATAATGTATAAATCTCAGTTCCCTAAAGTTGACCCATGTGTTATGTTTGGGTTATGTTGTCCATAATCACTATTAAAATATATGACAGTAATAAAGATGATATATAAACAAGTTCACATGATCCCAGCCAACAACAAAATGACACAAATACTACAATACCGTACAGTATGTTCACTGTACATCTTGTTTTAGGATTCACTGTTCCGTTTGTATGTAAACTCGGGACGCTGAACCATCATCTGCATGAGAATCATTACGCTGCATTATTTTCCTCGAGACCATTTTACTACACAGTTTACATAATAGCGCCATGTTTGGAAAACACATAGCTGCAAAACCAAATAAACTATTTATACCTCAAACGTGTAAGAAATGCAGGCTGATAGATAGGGAGGGCCACCGCGTGCTGTCACACATTTCCAGTGAATATAGGTCAACTACTGCAGCGCGCGTCACGTGCTCGAGCGCGCGGATAAACAATGGAGTGAAAAGTGGGCGCGGGCGCTGTGCACTGCTGCAGCATCTGTGCACACAGCTGCATTACTCCAGCTACACCAGTGCAAGTGCAGCTTACACTGGGAATTTTAACGCTTTATATTTGGGATGACAGATGAATAGATTTGGTTTCGTCATGGTCTTGTGATAGTTTACGAAAACAGAAATTACAAAAGAATCACTGTTTATATATTACATATGACTCATAGTAATTCCGGAGAAAAGACAAGCCCGTGAAATAGTAAATAAAGATCTTATGCCTTGCAGCAGGATGAGTGAATACAGTATTTCAGTTTTAATGAGAAACACTGGCATGTCAAAAACACATATGTAGTAGATTATGATATCAGGCAGTGTTGCACTAGTTACTCAAAGGATTCAAACATTTCTTATTAGTTTCCACCAGAATAATCTGTATTATCTTAACTGGTGTGGCTACTAATTCTTCAAAACAATATTTTTATTTTTATAAGACAAATCAGCTATTCATCATTTGACCAAATTTCTAACACCTCTGGTTTTTCTTCTGACCTTGATATGATTCAGTAATTTGGTTTTAGGTGGTCTAAAAGTGTAACTGTACCTCTTTATTTGATTAAAACACTGATATAACGTTTTCACTTTGAGTGTATTTTAAGTTTATACTTAATTATAACTATAATCACTAAAAACAAAAGATTTTGAAAGCATTTTACTCTTATATTGCATTACAGAATTACCTACTGTGTGCCTAAAGCTAAATGTGGAGTTAGATTAAAGATTAGCAAAACTCGAAGGTTTAGCAAATTTCCTTGTTAGATTAAGTTTGGTTTAGTGACATGTTTAGGAGGTTTTTGATGCTGGGAAAGGATGTTTGGACCAGTGTTTTGCTTCTTGGTTGTTCAAAGCACCAACACATAGCTGGGTTTCCAATGAACTTTTGGTGGAAAACTTACTCCCATTTAAAATGTGCTTTGATTGTATACCATAAGAGAATATATCCATGATATTACCTTTAAATAATCATTCTCCGACCTGAGTTCCTCAATCTCCCTGACTAATTCCTCATTCATGCCGTCCATCAGCTCCTCGGTCAGGTCTGAAAAGGCCAGTGATGTGCTGGCGGGCATCCTGCTGTCCATCGAGGTGAGGGAGCGCTCCTCCCCGGGGGACACGCTCCCCTCTGCGGTCTCCATCCCCAGCGAGAGTCGCTCTTTCTCTGCGCTGGTCTTGGTGTGACCACTTTTGTCCAGTAATCCATGTTCAGCTGCCGCTTTGTCGCCGTCGATCCCCCCGCGGCTGCTAGTCTCCGTGTCGCTACTAAGCGCGTCTGTGGAGACTTTATTCTCCTCGGAGGCGCAGTCGGAGAGCTCGGAACTGCTGTCGGTGGGTGAGAGTTTCCCCGGTGCGCATCCGGAGTCCTTGCTTAAATCATCCGATCCGATGCTGGCATCTGAAACTTTTCTCCGGCCGCTTTTATTAGACTTTACGCTGCTCTTCTGAGCACCGGTCGCTGACAGCGCGGGTTTGCCGGTTGGTTTATTCTTTTCTGTTTTTGCGTCTTTCCCGGTAACGGGGCTGCGTCTGGACACGCGGCCACCTAAATAAATGGCCCCCGGTTTAACGCTTAGTGTCGGCGTGCCGATACCGCCGCGGATTTTAGTGAGTGACCAGCCGGCCACATCTTTGGGTCGTGCAGGAGACGGTGCCCGGTGTATTTTCTTTTTCTCGGTAACTTGTAGCGGCGGCGCAGGCGGCGGCTGTTGTGTCGGTTGGTGCTGCGGCTGCGGCTGTTCTAGCTCGCCGGTGCTGCTCTCCATTTTCTGCTTTTGCCTCTTCTCCTTCGACGAGACAAAATGCGTCGGGGAACCGGTGTCAACCTTTGTCTTGGTCATTCATTCCGTTTACAAGACACAAATGAAGCCGAAATGTTCCTCCTTCTCCCCCCAAAAAACAGAAGTTGAGCTGGTTAGCGCTTCACACCAGGTCAGCCGACATCCAAATCATGGGAAATCCTAAAGGCAATGCAATTGCTTGGATTAAGATGTTTCTGTTTTCTCCAGTGCTCCTCGTCTGCAAGATATGTCCCCGGTTCTCGTGCAGAGTTGCTGCTGCTCGTCTGCTGAGTGCTGCTGGAGTGTTAGTTGGGTTTCTTTTTCCCCGCCCAAAATAGCGGCTCTGACCGTGACGAATGATCGGCGGAGAGCCTCGCGCGCAGCGCACTACTGCCACCAAGACACGGCGCACAATCTCTTCATCCTAAAAACAAAGATTGGTAATCGACTACCGGTTCAAATCCTGATCCATAATAAAATTAACAAAATGTTGGGGGTTCCCAGAACGTTTTCTTTAGGGCGCATAGCAATGAACGTCAGGTTTTAGGTGATTTCAGGTTGTTTCATAAAAAAAACTCCCAGTAACATTCTGGGAAGGTTACTTTTTGTTTCCCAAAAAATAAGAACCGCTCGACAACGTTCCTAAAGCATTTTTAATTGGTTTCCAAAAAACAACCAAATGGGAATTCGGAAACCATATGGGAATTAAACTTTATTAATTTATCGTTTTTACTGCCTATAAAAGATTTAACAGCCCATATAACACACATTGACCTACTGCCAGTGCTCCCACTGTATTGAGTAAGTTACTGCAATAACAACTTTCTTAACTGATATCTGATGAATAGCACTATTTTGAAACTTGTGACCCCGGGCCACAAATGGTAGGGTATATATTTGTGGGGAATAGTCAAAAGGCTACATTGTAAGAGTCAAAATGTAGATTTATTTTATTTCATGGTAAAAAAAAACTATTAATAAAAATATTTAAAAATTAAAGATCACCATCCATGAAGATGTCATGTAAAAAAATTAAATAAACTGTAATTATATATCAAAACAGTTTTTTCTCTCTCTCAAATAAGTGGCCTAATGTGCATTGAGCTTAATTTGGACAACTTTAAAACTTATATTCTCAATATTTAGATTGCAGATTTACAAACAGTTATTTAATAAACCATACATTAATGGAAAGCTTATTTAACTTTCTGGTTCTATTTTAAAATCTCAGTTTCAGTAAATCTGGTCTTTATGGTCAAGCAAGGGCGTAGAATTGGCATGAACGAAGGGGTGTTTCCACCAATTACTGAAATGTCCCTATCAATAATTTAATTTACTTCAAAGACAAATAATGCTCCATCAACCCTTAACCAACACATACACAAAGTCAAGTTTGCTACGGGTTCACCATAATACTAATAATAACCAAGGCTGCGCAATTAATCAAAATTCGGTTTAGATTCTGGCCTCTGTGATTATGAGAAACAATAATCAGGATAAAACAGTTCAATTGCGTCTCACACCTCTCTAAATTTCTCTACATTCATCAAAGCCGGACTGCAGTAAAATCATGTGAGTTGACTGTTGCATGTGATTGTTATCTGTATTATTAAGTATTAAATGTGCAAAACATAATTTGTGCTGTTCAATGAAGTTATAGGGATGTATGTCCCCACCAATGTCGAGAGCAAATCTATGCCCTTGTGGTGCAGGGTCACAAATTAAATACTGCAGAAAAAACTGCCACCACTTACTCTATATTTCAAACAGAATATCTAGCTCCCTCTATGTGTTTTTATTATACACTATTACGTAAACATCCTGGAAGTTTTGTTTAGATGTCTTCACAAAATCACTAAATATTCCTGATGTAAGAACATTGTTTGAAAAGCAACATTTATGTCATTGGATTTTCAGCTCTAAATCGTGCAGCTCCAGAGATACTGCCCTAATGATAACAGTCTCCACTTGTTATCTCTTCATGTGTGCTGTACTCAGCCTGGTTGTCTGCACCTCTGGAATGGGAGGCTGGATGATGCAGCAGGAATTTGAGCACTGCTCACATGTGCCATAATTAACCTGTAATGATTGCTGACTGTCCTCTTGGCCAAACACTAGAGCCTCATTAAAGGGTCTCTGCTGGGACCCTCTCACCAGCGGTGCTCCTTGAACTTCACTCAAATACATTAATGGCTTTACCCACGAGAACGCCCTGCTGGAGACTGGACAGAGGAGCTGCCTGATATTTGTGCTAACTGAGGCATTTTCATTGCCATATGAAAGAGGGGGATTTGTCCCAATCCTCCAGAGTCTGTGAAACTGAGAGCAATCAATGAGAGGCTTCGCTTAGTCTGTTAGTGATTTATAAAGACATACAAGACTTCAAACCATCATCTGATGATGCATTCCTGCAGTGTTTTCTTACATGTAATTCATTAATTGTCCTTAGTTGCCACAGTGGAATGAGCGGCCAACTATTACTGGCAAATATTTTATGCAGCGATGCCCTTACAGCCACAACCAAGCACTGGGAAACACCCATACACTCTCGTATTCACACACGCACTCATACAACATGCCCAATTGTGTTTACCCAATTCACCTTTAGCCAGGGTGTGAATTACAGAGGGGTTTGAGGTGGATTGACCCTCCTAATTATCACTAGACCCCCTCCCCTAAAGGATGTCAAAACAAGAGGCATGGGGGTCAGCTCTTTAATAGTGAGAAATAGTTTCCTCTGAGCTGTATCTTAAATAACAGTAATAGTTAATATAATAAAATACATGCAATACATTTGATCACCCCTATAATGGTTCATACTTCAACTGTATGTAACTTATTTTATCTAAATTTTAGTATGGAGAGCTCTGCTTTGATGTGAATTTCCCTTTGGGATTAATGAAGTCTACCAAACAAACAAACTATTTATACACTGTAAAAAAATTCTGTTTGCCCTAATTTTTTTAAGCTGAATCAAATTAACTTTATGAGTCCATAGAACTTATATTAGGTTAAACTGGTTTAAAACGTATCAAATGAAGTTAGAACATGATTAACTTAGTTTAGCAGGTTACAATGACCTAAAAACATACGCTGTCGATTAATTGATTTTAGAATTATTTTTCAGTGTACTCATTATCCTCTTCCACAGACTTGCTTGAGTTTCTTTCTTCTGTTGAATACAAATATAATTTTTAAGAATGTAATAAAAACCAGCAGCCATTGACTTCCATGGTGTGTATTTTGGAAATTTCAATGGCTTACAGTTTTCAACATTCTTCAAAATATCTTCTTTTGTGTTCAACAGAAAAAAAGAAACTCACAAAGGTTTGAAACCACTTGAGGGAAAAAAAAGGTGGGTAAATTTAAAATTTTGGGTGAACTATACAAAAATCAGTTTCCCAGTGTTGGGTTGCCGCTGGAAGGGCATCTGCTGCATAAAACATATGCTGGAAAAGTTGGCGGTACCAAATTGATACCAAAATCATTTAGAGAACTTAGTAAAGGGGCGCAGTAGGTAGTGCTGTCGCCTCGCAGCAAGAAGGTCGCTGGTTCGAACCTTGGCTCAGTTGGCGTTTCTGTGTGGAGTTTGCATGTTCTCCCTGCCTTTGTGTGAGTTTCCTCCGGGTGCTCCGGTTTCCCCCACAGTCCAAAGACATGCGGTACAGGTGAATTGGGTAGGCTAAATTGTCCGTAGTGTGTGAGTATGTGTGTGTGTGGATGTTTCCCAGAGATGGGTTGCGGCTGGAAGGGCATCCGCTGCTTAAAAACTTGCTGAATAAGTTGGCGGTTCATTCCGCTGTGGCGACCCCGGATTAATTAAGGGACTAAGCAGACAAGAAAATGAATGAATGAATGAATAAACTTAGTAATGTATTAAAATCTACGAGAGGGGTCTGGATGCAGACTTGGTGCAGTGCAATCGGAGCTGCATCCAATGCTTTTTGATACGCTCACCTAACCCCACCCCTAACCCTACCTGTCACAGTGACGTCACTCACTCCATTGTGTGCATTGTGTCTGACATTGCATCGCTGAGTGATGCAATCTCAGCTTGCATCATAAAGGCTTCCAGACACTATTGAAATCTACAGACACAATAAGATAAAGTGTGCCAAAAGAAACAGTAATGGATGTTTGGATGTATTCATTACATTAGGCAAAAAAAAACACTTTATAAATAGCAAAAATGCATGACTTTTTATGCATTTTTGCTATTTTTTAAAGTGTTTTTTTTTCTGCAAATGTCAGAAAACACAGAATATCTGTTTTTTTTTTTTGCCTTGCATTGCCATTTTGTTTTAATGCAAGACACCACAAATCAAAATATCATAAAAGTGCTTATGCAAAACATATTTATAGAGACTTTTTGAATGGAAAATACTTTCTGTAAGACAGCAATTATCTGTGCAATATTGAGGCGTTTCGGGATTCTCTTACTGTCAGCAGCCTTGCCACAGTAGACAGAGGAATCCAAAACCCACAGGGGGACACGGGGAGAAAAATATCCCCAGTGCTGCTTGATATCACATATTCTGTTTCATAATGGGCTTTCAGTAATTAATATAAGGCAGTGTTTTAGTTTGCTGTCCTATAGTTGACCTATAAATACCTGGCATAATGATACCAACAGGACGTCTGCTGCTTTTGCTCCATGTCTGAGAGATTAAAAAATGTTGGGACCCGCAGTCCTCGGGTCTCCATGTAATGGCTGTGGTGGCGACAATAGCAAAAGTGGGTTCATAAACTCTTATTCGGTTGTGTCTGATGAGAAATACATCTTGTGGATTATACATTCTAGTTTTAAGAAACATTTTAAGTAAAAAACAGCATTATTTACATCAGAAAACACTGGGTATTATTAATAATGGATATTGTCTATAAGATGCACTGTAACCTACTGGCATTTTTGGTTGCAAGACTGTACAGAAGCCAACTCCAGTTACTGTAAAGACAAACACAGCACATATTGATATGGTCATCGTTATTGATTTAAAAAAATCTACCAGAACTGTGAATTTATTATTTATGAAATATGCTAACTTACAAATATTTGTGATTACAACAGCCAACCAGTTTGTCTTTAATTGTTCTCTGTCCATTTTGCCACCAAAGAAAAGGCTCTTTATATAAATAAGCATTAACTTGTCTCTTGTTCCTTAAAGGTTCAAGAAATCCTCGAGTAATTTTTTGGAGATTTTAACAGATTTGTGTGTGTTGAGCATCAGTTAAGACAATGTTACCACCTGACAGCTTTATTTGTAAAACTGGATCATTTAAGCTTTTGTCAGCTAATTTCATCTTCCGGGTTTAAAATGATTTTTGGGGCG